CATGAATGTTTTCGGGTATGAACTGCCCAATGTTAAATATTGATGATATACTTTGCCATGGATTGATCGAATAAAATAGACTATATGCCCAAAGTAAGTCATTGAGGGACAGGGTATTGTTGGCATGCCATAGAGTATAGGAGCTGCAGGTTTATATTAGCACTATAGTGTGTAAGGACACTAAGTGCAGGTTTATATCCGGATTAGCACTATAGCGTAAGCTTAGTGTAGGTGGTGGGCACGACCTTATGTGTATTGTCCAGATTAGCACTATGGCGTAAGCTTAGTGCAGGTTTAGCACTACGGTGCAGGTATTTTACTCGTATACCCAGGGTCCTCAGGGTGTTATATTGGGCTATTGTCTACAGTTTATTGACTATGGATTATGTTTTATTGGTTAATAATGGTAACCATGCAAATAAGCTTATGAGCTTACGGAATAATGGCAAGTATATTAAAAATAATAATAATAAGCTTATGAGCTTATGGAATTTAAATGGTAAGTATTTTGGTAAAAATAAGCTTATGAGCTTATGGGATGAAAGTTAAGAAATTTTATATTATTTTGATCATGGTAAAATATTGAAGATGCTATTAGCATGGTTTTATGGCATTGGATTTGAAATCTAAATTCATGCATGAATTGTATTGCACTATATATTGTTTTAATTGCCTCACTAAGTTTATACTTAGTGTGTGATGATTTTCACGCGTAGGTAAAAAGCAAGAATAAGAATAAAGAGTTCAGAACGACATCAAGCATCGAGAGGTATATTTCAATATCAGTAAGACATCCTACGATGGATTTTGATTTAGATAGTGGCATGTAATTTAATAATGTTAAATTTATTTTGTTGAATAAATTTTGGAAATTGTTATAGTGATGAAAGGTTAATTTTTATGAGATTTATATATGAAATTTTCGAAAGTTACTGTAGCATGAACAGTAACCCCATTTTAAATCAAATTTTCCAGATTGTAAAAGGGGTACCGATTCCCCTGCTACAGGGAATCGATTCCCCTGCTGTTCACTGTTCACTATTCAGGTACTATTCACTATTCATATTTAAAAATATTTTGAATTAAATTGGTTACAACGAAACGTAATTTTTATGATATGATAATTTTATAATATCATTTACTATTTTAAGAAAATAAATTTTAAATCGCTTTCGAATCGTAAAATGGTTTTAGAAAATACGGGTGACATCCGTAATCTGTATAGGTATAATTATACGGGTTATGGGTGTTACATATTAATTATCATAGTTTATTATAAATTCAAAATCTCATAACTTTATCAAAATTTCACAATTTCATCAATTGTAACATATAAGTCATGTAGATATCAAGACAGGTAAATATTATATCAGTTTAATAACAAGTCGAATCATTTATAAGTTGAGTCAATTACAGGACAGATTCATAACAAGTCAGGTTGATAACAAGTCGAGTAATACCAGTTATTTACCAGGTTTATCTCGTGTTCGAGTTCATATCAGTCGGATGCAGGTCGAATTCGGTTATTATATTATCGGTTCAATTCGGATTCAAGTCATTCTTAGATCGGATGCAGGTCGGGTTCAGATCCACAATTTTCAGGTCCAACCCAAGTTCAGGTCAACACCAGTTCGGACTCGAATTGATTTTGGATCGCCACCATCTCAAGTCATAAACAATTTTGACTCAAGTTGATTTCAGTCAATTTTGCAGGCTGGTTAAATTTTTACATCCCTAGTTAAGGATGAATCCCTTGGTCAATTGATCCAACAAGAAGATTTAGATTATTTGACGGTTCAAATATATACAGTTTTTCAACAGTTATTTAGTCCCTTTGTTAGTTAATAATAACATTAAATTTCCTAAAAAATAATAATGATATTAATATTGTTTCTTAAAACAATGTAGAAAATATGAACTTATTGATAAATGTTTAAAAAAAGAGTCTCACAAGTGTTTTTAGTAGTTAACTTATCAACACTTGAATGCTTCTAAACTCATATTGGGTGAGATTAGGTCGAAATAAATCTTCTGCCTAAAATTTGGTCCTTTTTTATATAAATGGTCCATCGCAATTAAGGGGGGAAAATACTCTATTAATTCCACTTGCTTTCATTTGTTTTTGAATTTATACAAAAATATATATAAAACAATTTGATGTGTAAGGTCCTGGCTCATTGTCTAATTTATTTTAATATAATATTTTCATGGGTAAAGTACACAAATGGTCCCTTGGCTATAGGATAACATTTTGTTGAGTCTTCTGACTATTACAAGTTACAAAATGATCCATCGACTATAGGATTTTTTGTCGACAAAATAATATACACAAGAAGTATAATCATTTAAATGTGAAATGCATGTAACTAACAAAAATGAGTCAACAAAATTATATTGATTTACTAACCGCAGCACCAATGGCGATAAATAGCAACTCAAAGCGTCCATCTCTATTTGTTTTGATATGAGTTACCAACCCATGATTTTTCAGCTTTAAATTGTGACAATAAGCTGGCAGTTGGGCAAACGATGCTTCTGGAGACCCCCTCAACAATCCTAACGCATAACATTTGGCTCTCCAAGCTTGAGAATATGAGATACTAATCTTGAACCGAGCATTCATGTCAGTCATAATTTCATGTCCCCGATATACTATGCCATTCATAAACATTAACTCAACCAGAAAACCACCCAATACCTTTTTGTTTGCCTGTCTATGGTGAGGAAAAACTTGGGTTCTTGAACATGTATGTTTATCAATAAAAGTCCTAACTTGAAACATTTCGTAATCTTTTATCCTCTTTGCAATCATACGCCACGTACAGTTTTTGTCAATCATACATTTTGTTTCGAAACGATCTTTGCTTGATTTGTTAACTTTTAGTTGATAGCCATCTTCCACACATTTCGTATACAAAGCTATCTTCAAGTCTTCCTTTGTATCAAAACAATCATCTTTCTTGATACGAATAACTTTTGTGTAACAATCAACTGCTATCTTTACCAACTCTTATTCCGGTATCTGAAGTAATTCTGGCATATTCCAGTTATACTCCGGTGGCATTTTTTTCTTTTTCTTTTCTTCGGGGACTTCTTATTCTTCTTTTTCTTCTTCAGGGTTATATGAATTACATAATGGATGTTCAACATGTTCATTCACAGTCGTAACTTCCTCCTTATTATCATCAACAACATCTTCCTTGGCAGTGGCTGTTTCATCATTAAAATTCAGGTATTGACCAATATCAAAATCATTACACGCAGAGTCTGTTTCTTCTCCTGAAACATCATCAAAATCCGAGTATTGACCAAGATCAAAGTCCGGGTATTGACCAATATCAAATTTCGAATACTGACTAGTACTCACAATTTTTTCTGTTGGCTCATAATCGTCTAACTGGTCAATACGAAAACTGGAATTTGGTGCTGAAAGTTGATTGGATTTAGATTAGGAAAAGGTTGTAGGTTTTGAGATTGTGTTTGGTATTGGAAATGTGGTGAAACAAAATTTTCTTGGCGATGAAATTGTGGTAGAACCATTAAATTTTGAGGTTGATAACAACGTTGTACATTGTGAGCACTATAAACTAGGGTTTTAAAACTGAGTTGATTACTACCCGCAACTGACCCAACTTCACTACTTCTAGGTTCAACAAAATACAATATAACATCATCTTGCGAAACACTAATGTAAGCAATGAATCGTTCAACATCTTCATTGTCGGTTAACAAATAAACTTTACCTTTTTTCTGATAAGATAGCTTAAATCCACTTAGAGGCTCTAAATTCAATTTCTTTGCAACACGTAACATTAGAGTTTCATAAGTTAACTTTTTAATGAAAGTTTTAGTTGAAGATTCATGGGTAAAGGCACATATTGTAAAACACCATGAACATTCTCCCATGACCCTCCAAAACACAAATCTATCCAAACATGATCAACATTAGATGATTTCATTCTACAAATTGTAAATTAATTTACTAAACAAACAAACTATAAACTAGATATCAGCACTAACTTAGAGAAAAACATACATTTATTAAGTTGATAGTTGATAATTTGGGAGAAAATCATTGAAAAATTGTATAGAAATAAAATTATGTAAAAAAAATTAGAGATGGGGAAGGATGTCGTTGGATATAGGAATAGATGTCGTCGGAGAGAGTGATAGATAGAGATGGAATGAGTTGCGATTTAGGTATTTAGGTTATGAGTTGCTGCTGTTGCGTAGTTATATACCCAAAACATTTGTGTTGCGAAACTAAAACCTGTTGTGAAATTAAATTCGTGTTGTGAATTCGAAAATCGAGTTACGAATTTGAAATTCAGTTGCGAATTTGAAATTCAGTGTTGCGAATTTGAAATTCAGTGTTGCGAATTTGATTTATGTGTTGCGATTTACATAATCGCGTTGCGAATTTGGAAACTGGATTGCGAAATAGGAGTTTGCGTTGCGAATTTGAGATCGCGTTGCGAATTTGTTGGTCATTTTCGCAAATAAAAAAATTGATTAAAATCGTAAATTATAAGACATTTTTGATCACTGAGGTTATTTTCTCTAAAATTAATAATTATGACACTAGAAGTGTACCTTATCCTAAAAACAATTTTATTTTGGTTAAAACGGTGCGATTATTTTATTACAAGGGAAGGACATGTAAAGGGGAAAAAAAAAGTTTGCCGTATATTACTAGCTTCACTGTTGCTCTTGTTACAACCAAAACTGAGTTATGTTTTAGGTATGTAAGGAAAAGACCAAACAAGACGACTTGAACGGACACCACAGATCCTGCAACTATTTTCAAACCGGTTTAATGGAGCCTTTCTTTAGTTACCTTCAAAACTTTGATTTTTCCATCTAGTGTTTTGGCTTTTTCCTTAACACCGTTCTTGTCCTAGTCAACCATTAACAGTGTTCTCTTCGTACAAAGAAAGATAATCATTCATTTAATTTTCAATAAACAATTCGTATTTGAATATTTTGGGGGGGGGTTAATTCCCGATTAGTCCCTGGATAGTCGGTGTCTTCTTTCCATTTCAACGAGACAAGTGGGTGTTCCAGATCCGTCATCGAACCTGGAAACGTATTTTCCCAGGATTTTAGCAACTTTTCTTGCTTTATTTATGGGCTTTAATCGGAGCCATTTAAGATCTTCTGCTCCGCGAAAGTTGAAGTCTTCGTTCCATACACATCTTCAAACCATGAAGTGAGTTTCCTTCTCAAATCTTTGTCCCTTTTTTTTCCAGATTAATGTTGAAGCACTTATCATTTGAATTTTTTCTGATTATGAATCTGGGCACTCGGCTTTTATCTTATTCTTATCAGAAACATGGCCAAGTAAAAAGCTGAAGCAACAGTAAACAAATTTATCTTTACCAGAAATTTTGAATTTTAGTTGCTTTTTGAAGTCATACTGTACAACTACTCAGAGATGATAGCATATGCATATTCGGATATTTACGTGTGTGCAAATGTAATAAATATCACCATCGCTTTTCCCTTGTCTGTGTATGTTACCCTGCTGGAAATGATTATTTTTGTGTTGAGTCTCTCGGTGATATGTATGGTTTTAACATTTTCTCAGAGCAAGAAAGATTTTCGGTGTTTCTCTTTCTATCCTCCTCATAAACCTGGCTGCCATTATGGAACGTGCTGATGAAAACCTCCTTCCATCTGTCTACAAAGAAATTAGCGAAGCATTCAATGCCGGGCCATCTGATCTTGGGTATCTCACCTTTATAAGGAACTTTGTGCAGGGATTGGCGTCTCCCTTGGCTGGTGTACTCGTAATTAATTATGACCGACCTACGGTTCTGGCTATAGGTACGATGTTCTGGGCCTTATCTACCGCCGCAGTGGGTGGAAGCCAACAGTTTCATCAGGTTGCAATGTGGAGAGCAGTTAATGGCTTTGGACTGGCGATTGTAATACCAGCACTTCAGTCTTTCATTGCTGATAGTTACATGGATGGTGTGAGAGGGACCGGATTCGGGCTGCTAAGCCTTGTTGGCACCTTGGGCGGCATCGGTGGTGGTGTTGTTGCTACGGTAATGGCTGGTCAGCAGTTCTGGGGTATGGCTGGATGGCGTTGTGCCTTCATCTTGATGGCAACTTTAAGTTCATTCATTGGACTCCTTGTGTTCCTTTTTGTTGTTGATCCAAGGAGAAAAACTATTGTCAATCATGATGCTGGCTTTAATTCAGAAAGGTGCTAATTGCTCGTTCCAAGTGTTCATATTAGTCTGTTTCACAATTTTATCACCCTGTAAACATAGTCCTTAAACCGGTATGAATCACATGATAGCTTCCTGTATTTGCTTTGGTGACAGCTACTTTCTTTTGCAGGAATGAGTTGGTAGAAAAAGAAACTGCTCAAGTCTCGTCGGTTTGGTTCGAGTCCTGGGCCGCTACAAAAGCTGTTATAAAAGTTCCAACTTTTCAGATAATTGTCTTGCAGGGAATTGTTGGTTCGTTACCATGGACCGCCATGGTGTTCTTTACCATGTGGTTTGAACTAATTGGTAAATACATTCACAACGCTTAACAGCCTTTGTTTTCTCTTTTAATTTGGGATAAAAATGCTCAAATTGAGACCAATGGCTGGTTTGTTTCTTTTTATTTTCCTCAGGTTTTGATCATAAATCTACAGCAGCACTTTTAAGTCTTTTTGCTATCGGATGTGCAATGGGATCCTTTCTTGGTGGGTTAATAGCAGATAGACTGTCACAAATTTATCCCCACTCTGGCCGTATCATGTGTGCACAATTCAGCGCTTTCATGGGCATCCCATTCTCAGTGTTCCTTCTTAAAGTGATCCCACAATCAGGGAGCAGCTATTACGCCTTTGCTGTAACCCTGTTTTTGATGGGCTTAACCATCAGTTGGAACGCTACGGCTGCAAACGGTCCTATGTTTGCCGAAGTTGTCCCCCCTAAACATCGGACCATGATCTATGCATTCGACCGTGCCTTCGAAGGATCGTTATCATCTTTTGCTGCTCCCTTGGTAGGTATCCTATCAGAGAGGATGTTTGGGTATGATTCGAAATCTATTGATCTGATCAACGGTTCTCCGCGTGAGGCATATGCGTTGTCTAGAGGACTGCTGTCGATGATGGCAATTCCTTTTGGTTTGTGTTGTTTGTGTTACACGCCATTGTACAAATTCTTCAGGCAAGACCGTGAAAATGTTAGATTAGCCACTGTGAAAGAGGAAGAGAAGATTTGAGTGAATGGTTATGTGAATGGTTATTTTTTTAGAGATTAATTCACAAAATATTTTCTCTATTAGGCTGGAATGTACTATCTTTTCAATGGCAGCATCTTGCTCATGAAACTCCATGAATTTGTGTATTCATTACCATGTTGGTCAAATGAAATACATTGATAGCATACAATTGTAGAACTATTGTTTCATCATAAACCATTTGGGTTGCTAAGCACATATACATATTCTACACACACAATAGAGGCACATTTGACAAGAAATCATTGACATCTTGCAAGCTAATAAGCAGAATTAAGTAACCTATGGGGAGCATGCAATAGGACTATCATAACAGAAGGCAAATCCATCGTAAAGGAATCATTTTGACGGCTCCAGAGATGGTCTAACCATATTGATGTAACTAAGGAATCATTTCAATTATGGGAATGATTCGATGAATGATGCTCAACAAGCACATTGGAAATCCGATATCCTTGCAGAGCAAGGCAAAAATAGGTAAAATAAACAAAGACAATGTATTCATTTTCAGATAAAGATAATCACATAATAAGTGCATTAAATTCGGTAGATTGACTCCATCCTAGTTGCACATTAAAAATGATATATGCCACAGAAACATAAATCATCATCAGGAATGCTACAGTGAAACATTGAAGGAATTTTATCTGGTTGGTCTTTCAGGAACATCGAAAAAATCAGTGGAAGAAAGAAGGTAATTTTTGGGAAAATTATACAGCCCGCAGAAACTAAGTGTTGATGAATTGTGCATTTGCAGTTTCAGCTACCTTGCAAAAGCTAAATACACCGGGCAAAAAAGTTTTGACCAACATACCCACCAGACATAGCCCTCCTCACATTTGATTCAAACATCTTTGGGTTATCCCTCAACACTGCAGCAGCTTCATGGTAGAGGGGGTCCTCGTAATTTGGTTCCTGCACACAAAATTCGAAGATTCATATAGCTGCAAACTCATAGAATTAGTGACAAAAATACACTGCATTACCGTGAAAAGATGATACAATCCATAGATTACAGTGTTTATATTGAGCACCGGTTTCCAGTCTTCACGTAAGATATTGAGGCAAACATTTCCTTCCAAATCAATGTTTGGATGGTAGACCTAGAAATTGGAGTACAACATGATACAAGCCAGATAATAACATGAATTCAGCGAAGGAACAGATGATTTAGAAGAAAATAAGACGAGCTAGTTTACCTTGGTCTTGCACTTAACTTTGGGTGCCTCATGAGGATAGATGGGAGAAACTTGAAATGAGAACAAAAATGTGCCACCGCTGTAACAAAAGCAATCAATCAGTCGAATACTGTGAAGCGGTACATTCCCAGTAAAACAATAGCAACCAATCAGTTGAATACTTGTTAGCATTATTAATCAGAGAAAAGGAATATAAAACAACCAAATGAAAAATAAGCACGTCTTTCCCAGTAATCAAGAACTTTAACCAAAAGGTTTATGATAGAGAGCAAAAGATTACTTGTTTCAAAATAAGAGGTATGAAAGAAATTCCTTACAAATAATATCCTTCATCGGGTCGAATTGAAACCTCAAAATTCATCAGGTTATCCTTTCGATTAGGGAATGTTATAGCACAAGATTTGGGTAGGTTTAGCTCAGAAATATCTACATGTAGAAACTCAAAATAAAGCATGAGAAACACATTTGGATCAAACACAGATCCTCTTTAAACAACTCAATTCACTAAACATGAGAAGTAAACCTTTGTGCAGACGCAATTCTCCTGGACTTTGCTTTTTGGCAGGAGCACCCCCATTTGCATTTTCAGCAAGTTCTCTCTGCTTTTCCTTTACTTTAAACAGACGAATCATAGCTCCTACATATATATTAAAAAATAAAGTAAACACATTGATTTCTATTGCTTAATAACAAATTTTAGTTACACAGAAAAGCATTATCAACAAAAAAATCTAGAGATTCTAGACTAAAGCATTAAAAGAAAACACTTGTTCATAACAAACCCTTACTGAAAAACCCCAGCCATTATTATTGAATTCGATTTCCATACTTTCGTACCGTACACAAACAGAAATTCGATTATCTTCAAAGAATAGAAAAGATCACTCTTTTAGCAGAGTCAAAGCTATTTGACAAGACTAATTTAATCTAGTTAAGAACAAAAGCAATAGAAAGTTGAATAACCAAAAAAATATTCAGAACGAAATTAATTCTAACAGATCATAATTCAAGATACGCTAGCATCAAAAAATAAACTTAGATCGTTGCAGAGAAGAGAAAAATAATCAGATTTATGCAAATAAATCTAACAAAAGAGTCACAGTAGCCAAGAGCGATTAAAAGGAAATTGAAAAAACTATAGAATAAGAGTGTGTTGGTTTTATTAGATTGTACCAAACCTGTTGGAGGAAAAGCCGAGCAAAGGAAGAAGAACTAAAGCGGAATTGATGGAGTTGTAATTTAGCTATTGTGTTTGATTTGGGCTGCGGAAGTGTTTAATTTGTTTGATTTTAGGTGGGTTGTATTTACTATTATTGTTTAAAAATACTTTTTAATAATAAAAAATTGATTATCTGAATGACAATCAATGAATAATCTCAGTTAAAAAGTATATATTTGACAAATATATTTAAGGGTAAAGTACATAAATGATCCCCGACTATAGGATATATTTTGTTAAGTTCCTCGGCTATTAAAAGTTACAAAAATGATTACCGATTATTTATTATGTTCCAAACTAATCCTTTTCCGTTAACAATCGATGGTTGTCTAAGTTTGACGTTAATATGATGGTTGAGATTTGATAATCGTTTGAGATTATGAGATCATATTTTTTCATATCACAATGAGCAAGTTAATGATCAACTCAAAATACCATCAATTTTCTAATGAAAAGGGACGAGTTTGGAATATAATGAATAATTGGGTGACCATTTTATAACTTTTAATAGTCGATGGACTCAACAAAACAACACTCTATAGTTGGAGGACTATTTTATAACTTTTAATAGTCAAGGGACTTAAAAAAATAATACTCTATAATTAAGGGACCATTTACATACTTTACCCTATATTTAAATAATATTATTATTTTAATTATTTAAGTAATTGATACAAATAAAATTTTATATGAAGTTCAGGGTTAAATAAAATTTTACCCTTTCATTAAACCTTTTTATATTTTCAATTTTGTAAAAAATATTATATAAATTTTATGAATTTAATTTTTTTAAAGAAAATATATAAATATTTTCCAACTTGTTAAAAAACAAATATATAATCAAGACAATTTGAGCAAATATACATTCTAATAATCTTTTATTCATCTAACCAAACACGGTAATCTTATATTCCTGCTAAGCCAACCAAACACAAAATATAACATTCCAGTAATTCTTTTCCCTAGTAATCTTACATTCTCACCGATAATCTTACATTCCCACCGATAATCTTATATTCCGTGAACCAATTACACCCTAAAAGTAGTTTTCATTTCCTTAAGGTGTTATGTATGGTAAGTTCTATCTTGAAAATTGTTTTTTTTTTTTGTACAATTTCTGTCTAGTAGAGTGATGAAGATATTTTATTTTTAATAAGTATTGATTCATAATTTAGGAAGAATGAAAGATATTAAGAATACTGAATTCATAATTTAGAAATAAGAGTTTTTAACTATTTACTTTGAGATTTTTAACCTATAAATTATATATATATATAACAACCCGGAAAATAGAAAAAATATATATAATTGTAATTTGAGGTTTTAATTAAGTTAATTGGTGAAATTTGAGGATTTAATTGGAAGTTTTTAAAACTTGTAGCCTATTTTAAAAAGTTGAGGAACTTTAGTGACCAATCACTGAATATTTCCAAGGAGTGTCGGCAGATTTTTTTCTTATATGCGTGCAAATTGATTCTGGTTTCATACCAGAATTTGCTAAGTTTTTACCCCACTCATCTCAACTTCCAACCTCGATTCCGACGCCGTTCGACTTCCGATCGTCGTTTTGAAAACACCATCGTGTTCATCATCGAGCGAGGAACAAACCCTTCAAATTAATTGAAGCGAAACGCTGCCAAACGTCGTGAATTTTAAGTCAAAGTCTCGACGTTTTTTTAGCTCAATCGCCGAGAAAATCTTAAATTCATCGCCGATCGTTGCTCCATTTACGACACCTCCCGCACAATTGTGTTCTTGTGTCGTTCCGAGTCCGCCGGTGCTATCCTCGGTCTCCGTCGGCGGCGGCGCGTGGGGAGGTGAAGTGGTCAAAGTTTCCAATTTGATGAAATCGAACTCTCCGCCGTTCAAAAATTTGAACCGATCTTTGTAAGTATCTCGAAATCGCTCAAAATAATTTTTAGAAATTTTTCTGTGAATTTTACGCAGCCAGAAGACACCTCACGCGCCCCCACGCGCAGTCACTGTGCGTGGGGAAAGTCGAAATGACCGGTTTAACCGGTTTTTAACCGGTTTGACCGGTTCCGACCCGACCCATTGACCGTTGATCGGGTGATATTTTGGAATTAATTTGAAACAGGCGCTATTTTAAGAATTTAATTTGAAAAGGTGCTATTTTAGGATTTAATTCGAAAAAGGTGCTATATTAAGAATTTAATTCAAAAAGTGCTATTTTAGGAATTTAATTCGATAAAGGTACTATTTTAGTAGTTATTTTAAAAAAGGTGCTATTTCTATAAAATGATTTACAGTTTGTTGACCTCCACCAGAACTTTGATCGGCTTTGACCGGCCATTAAAAAATCGTTAATCTTTTCTGAAAAATACCTATTCTGACATTTTTTGACGTTCCGAATCTGTTTTTGAGGTCAGTTTCACAAAATTCAAACTCGAAAGTCTCTAAATCGTCAGTCAAAATCGTTGACTTTGATTTTGACCAAGAATTCAAATTTTCGAAAAGTCATACTTTATGTTTTTCGACGTCCTGAATTTGATTCTGAAGTCCGTTTTGCCAAATTCTGACCCAAAATTCCCGAATTGAGCTTGTAAACCCAAAAGGCTTAATATTTTAATATTTTGATTATTTAATTGAGATTTGGTTAAGGAATTGATTCAATAAAAATATTTTATGAAGGTACTAGTGTTTCACCTGAGCAAAGATCATTTAGGTCCGGTGTTGTCCGTTCGTTAGATCAGCCTGAACCGCGTACTACGAGAATTATCCGTAGGTTTCCGTATATTATTTAAATATATATATATATATATATTTCTAATATCAAATTATAAAAAAAAACTAAAAATACAACGATTAAAACAAAATTTTTCAGAAATTATCTTTTTAAATTAAACGTAAGTTTAAAAAAAATAAAATTTAATGTTTTAGATATAAATATGTTTAAAAGGTTATAATTTATATTCGAATGTTTGATTAAAATAATTTATATAATTTTTTTGAGATAAACATGAGATTTCGGTGGTGGATTCTTCCCCCACTAACAGAAAATGACCTCCTCTCCCATAACTACCTACCTTGCTGACCTCTTTACGTGGCTAAAAAATATCTGACTTTGTTTTTTCTGTTGTAGGCACCTTCGAAACAACTAAGCAGGTGAGACAAATGACAAGCATAGGCTCATGCGGTTGCACGTGCGAAACTGAGCGGTTCAGGCTGGGCTCTGCAAAACAAAATTAATAGTATTAATATTATAATAATAATAATTAATAATAATAATATATATATAAAAACATTTAAAAAAATTATATTATATTACTATAAAAAAATAATATATAAAAAAAGAAAATCCAAACGAAAATAAGTGTCTACAGCTGCCCCTCTTTGTCCTTTTTCATGGAATGAAAAATAGGGCAAAGATAAAAGGACACAAATTTTCGTTCAGTAAAGTTGAAGAATAACTCTCTGTCAAGATAGTTCCTCCATCGCGAAGTCGAGTCCACCTTGAAATGATATAAGATTGAAGCTGTAATTCGAACTTGAATCGGAATGTGGCTTCTCGTTGTCAAATTGGAGTCAATTTCGGTCTTCTTCTCGGTTTAAAGACATTGGTTAAAAAATTCGATTGGAAAATAGTTCTTTGACTCCACCATGTGGTCGATAGTCTCTCGAAATCGAACTCAGAAATTTTCGTTGATAGATAGTTTTTCTCGACTTAAGCTATGCTACTGGAAAATGGTTTCTTGTCACTAAGGCACGACCAAACCAGGTCTTCTTCTCGATTTGGAAACCTCGACTGTAACCAGACAGTAGTGTGATTGATGTGTCATCGAGTTGAATGGAATCGAACTCCACAATTTTATTGACAGATAGCCCTTCTTGCTTTGAGTTATGCTGCAAATTTGATTTGCCTCTGAGTTGAACGTAATCGAACCGAAGGTCTTTGGTTGGCAAATAACCCTTCTCAACTTAAGCTATGCTACAAATAATATGTCTTTGAGCTGAGTGTAATCGAACTTGAAGTTCTTTTGTTGGAAGATAACTCTTCTAGCCTTGAGTTATGCTGCAAATGATGTGCCTTGGAGCTGAGCGTAGTTGAACTCAAAGGTCTTTTGTTGGCAAATATCCCTTCTTGACTTGAGCTATGCTGCAAATAATGTGCCTTGGAGCTGAGCGTAGTCGAACTCGAAGGTCTTTTGTTGGAAGATAACCCTTCTAGCCTTGAGTTATGCTGCAAATTATGTTCCTTGGAGCTGAGCATAGTCGAACTCGAAGGTATTTCGTTGGCAAATAGCCCTTCTTTCCTTGAGCTATGTTGCAAATGATATGCCTTGGAGCTGAGCATAGTCGAACTCGAAGGTCTTTTGTTGTAGATAACCCTTCTAGCCTTGAGTTATGCTGTAAATGATGTGTCTTGGAGCATAGCATAGTCGAACTCGAAGGTCTTT